CATCTCAACAGTTGGTTATTTACATCAGTTTATAAAATTTTTCTTATACATGTCAAATCATATCGGTCGTAACTATCTCTTGTCATTTAAGCTCAGGTCTTGCTCAACTAATATAAATAGCCTTGAAATCTTTCTTTAATAAAAGTAATTCGACTTTAGAACTATTGTTCGGTCTCGTTAACTCTTTTTTTTCATATTTTAAATACTTAAAACACTTCATACAGGTTAATTCGGATAATCTTCATCAAGGATAAGATGCTGCGTAATTGCACGGTTAAACTATATTAAATCCAGGAACTAAATCACAGTCAGCCGCAGTCAATCATATACGAGTATTCTATGACAAATATAACAATAGAAGAACACGTAATTCTTATCTATTTGTCATCAGCTATATCATACTCATTAATTATTAATCCATGACATGAAATATTATCCGTGTATGAAAAGTATAAATAGAGTACAATTTTCTTATTAAATAAAACAATCTCTTTATCGAGTCTCGTCCTCTCTTGTTCCTTTTATTCTTGGATAAATCAATTAGAATAATTTTTACTTTAACTAAAAACTGAAATAAAGATCACTCTCAAAAAGTATACAAACTGTTTCTTGATCTTTGTTTTTACCTTTTCTTTTACTATTTAAACCATTATACAACATTATAGTCTAACCAGATCTCTATTAATAAATGTGAGACTTCTGCAATAGCCAATCTTGCCCTGTTGTCCTACCAGCGTTCTAAAAGACTATATCGGAACCTGATTACAACAACGGCAGTTCAATCCTATTCTATAATTATCGTTAGATCAATAGTTTAATTACTTCATTGTCCCTTGATTCGTCAAGTAGACAGCGGCTATTGATTATCCACTATCCTTCCTTATATTCCATATCATTCTTTTAACCGATCAATTGAAATAGCGGTAAAGACCCAGACATTCAAAAAGTATAAATACCCTCAATATTTTTTATTAATAAAGTCATATATAATCTTTAGTTTCACAACTATTGTATTTTTATAGTTTTTGTCTCATAATTCTTATTTGGCAAAAAAAAGTTGATAAAAGTGATTTATCCAAGAATAAAAGGAACAAGAGAGGACGAGACTCGATAAAGAGATTGTTTTATTTAATAAGAAAATTGTACTCTATTTATACTTTTCATACACGGATAATATTTCATGTCATGGATTAATAATTAATGAGTATGATATAGCTGATGACAAATAGATAAGAATTACGTGTTCTTCTATTGTTATATTTGTCATAGAATACTCGTATATGATTGACTGCGGCTGACTGTGATTTAGTTCCTGGATTTAATATAGTTTAACCGTGCAATTACGCAGCATCTTATCCTTGATGAAGATTATCCGAATTAACCTGTAGCCTATCTATTGGATATATTTTACATGTAACTTATTAATACTGTTTTTGTTATGCTCCAAAGATAATCATTGTATAGCAATCAAGCATTATTAGCGATTGATAGTGTGAGTATATGGAAATGTAATCTTATTAATATGTATGTATATCTACCAAAATAGACTGGTGAATGAGGAGCAAGCGCTTATATTAAATTATGTAAAGATCTGCATAATAGAATATAGCATTTAGCCATCTGCATAAGGCTGTGGGCATTTCGCCATCCGCATAGTACCTATATTAATATTTACACTGTGAAAAGTATATAAACTCTGGACATATATTATTAAATAAAATCATACATAATTTTGGGTCCTATTGAAATCTCCATTTTTATTTTTGTGAACAAAACAGTTTTCATATCGAGTTATGAATGATGGAGACATCAAAAAGAATAGAAAAAAAAATAAGACTTGAGTTAAAGTATTGATATTGGATTCGCTTGTTGTGCGTGGCCACCAGATCTTGTTAAGTAGATCAGACTTGTTTGTAATAAGGTAATTGGATAAGAGTTTTGATAGTGTTTACAATGAAGATAATTTGCTTCAAGGGACTTGTCTTGTTTGTGTTTTAAGAGTGTTATACCAAAAGATTCAGAGATAAAGATACTTGATTTACCGGTTATTTATATAAAAAATACCACAAAGAGAAGTAAAGTAAAATAGAAATAAAAACGTGTCTATTATATAGACAAAGGAAAATAAGGTTTCATTTTTGAAGTAGGGTTCGACTTTTGAAATAAGATTTGATTTTTGAAATAAGGTCCAAATATTGAATAAGGTTGGAAAATTTGAATAGATTCAATATAGTAATTCACAAGATGCCATCATCATTGGCACCAATATTATCATTTGCTTCGTCACAGTAAGTCGATTTCAAAGTCAGGTGTACCGTCCAAAATTTTATAGATGTTGTTATTTTGTAGTATGTTTGGTTTGGGTTGTGTGTTTTAGAGAAGTTTTTCTTGAAATTTTTAAAGTAAGGTACTGTAGTGACCACCAAATCTTTTAATTAAGATCAAATAAAGGTAAAGATAAAAAAAATAAAGGGATCAGGAACTTTTTATGAGAAGGTTGCCTGTTTATTGAATAAAATATATAAAATAAAATGTGAGTAGAACTGTACTGTCCTTTTTCTTCATCTACACTAGGTGAAAAAATAGGGACAACCTACCCTAAAATAATCTTTAACTTTTTTTTTTCTCCTCCACTCCGTACGACATCCAAGCCATGCCTATAGAGCGTAATCTTAGGTAGTGAGTATTACGTTTCCCGCATATAAAACTAATCAGGGTAACATATGGTGGAAGAAAAGAGGAAATAGTTGCAATAATTTTATAAGCGTTATATTATAAAATGGGTAGTATTTATTTAATAACGAGTAAATCTCCCTTTTGATTTGATTACCGCTGCTATGCGATCAGGCATGCTATCAATGTAGCTTCTACAAACAACTTTATCTAGCTTGTTCCATTCAACGTCAACTCGTTCTCATAGCTCGTCGATGTTTCTTGCCTTTCGTTCATAAAGACATAACCTAAGTTTCAGCAAATGCCACACGTGCTCTATAGGATTCAGATCCGGACTGTTAGGTGGCCAATCGGTAATGTACCGGACCTTGTTTTGTTGGAGCCATGACATTGTTGATTTGGACTTGTGCTTTGGGTCGTTATCTTGTTGAAGGTAAATGGTGCGCTTGTTCATACCATAGTACTTCAGCGTTTCCATGTAAGTTGTTCCAAGAATATGCTGGTACACCAAGGAGTCCATGGTACCATCGTATACCTGGCACGCATATCCTGGTCCCTCACTGGTTATACATCCCCACATGATCAATTTGCCGCCACCATGCTTCACTGAAAGATCCATGTGGTGTGGGCGAAGAACATCACCAGGCTGGGTCCAATAGTATCTGCAGCCATCAGATCCCCAAATGTTGATCTTCGTTTCATCGGAGAACACTACTTGATGCCACTGCTGTATGGACCAGCTTTGATACTTTTTTGCCCATGCTAACCTCTGCTTGCGGTGGTTATTAGTTAAAAGAGACTGCTTCTTTTTACGCCTAGCATGAAAACCCATTGATACAAGGGTGTTTATTGCTGAACGGTAAGACATAGAATACCCAAGTCGCATGAGCATCCGATGTACATCCTTGGCTGTCTTTAGGGCTCCTTTAATCAGTAATACCTTGATATATTCCTTCGTAGCAGATGACACAAGTATATGCCTACCACGTCTTGCGGGTACCGTTGGCCCAAATAGCTTGTTTCTATATCTCCTAACTGTCTTGGGATGGATATCAAATTCATCAGCAATATCCTTTGGGCTTCTATTGCTCACCAGTGCAGACTTGATGCTGTCTTGCGTGTCTTGAGGTAAAGCGCGAGGCATAAGTAAGAGAAATGTCGCAGAAAGTAAGAAGAATATAATGAAAAAAAAAATTGTATGAATAAAGGAAAACAGCACCCATTTTATATTATTAATTATAGGAATGTGCTTAGCTAAAATTAAAATTGGTTTGCATTTTAATTGTAACTGACATTCCAGGTCAAATTAGAAGAGTACAAAATATGGTCTAAAACTGAGCTATGGAGTATCTAAAATTCGACCAATTTTATACGCATTACTCCCTCATTTTCCATAATTGGCTCATCATATTTTGATGAAATACTTTACACATTAACCTCGCTTTAACGTATTGCTAGCGACATGAGGCGACCTTCTCTTAATGCTATATGCTGCATGAAATGAAATTTTCGAAAAGGTTGTCCCTATTTTTTCACCTAGTGTAAATAGTTGGGATATTTATATTGTTAATTTTTTTTTTTCTTTTTGACTTTTTTCATTTTTTTGACTTCTTTCATTTTCTTGACTTTGTGAAATCTTTATATTTCAGGGTTTAGATAGGATTGAGGTAAGTTGTTAATATAATATATCGTGTTTTGAATAAGGTGTTGAATATAATTTGTATCCAAAGAAGTAAAATTGAATAGATGTATGTTTGAGTGTAAGTGACCACCAGATCTTATAAAGTTGATCAGACTTGAATTGAATAAAAAGAATAAAGGTAAAGTAAAGATAAAACAAAAGGGATTTACAATGAAATATAAGTTTCAAGGGATTATTGGTTCTTCCTATTTATACAAATAAAATAAAGAGATATTTGGATTCAAAGGATATTTATTGTGATAAAGTAAGGTAATGTAAAATAATAGGTAAGATAATAGGATAAGATAATAATAATAATTGAAATATTTATAAAAAGATACTGATATTTATATGTTTTTTTGATTTTCATACTTTTATGCTGTTTTTGGTTTTTCTTTTGTTTTCTTCTTTTTTTTGTTGTCCTTGAATTCCTTTGCTATTAGCATAGCATCGTTTGCTATTGAGATAGCATCTCTCCTATAACCATAGGGGTTTCCTTTTTCGTGTTTCGTGTGTTACAACTTTTTTCATTTTTTTGACTTTTCTCATTTTTTGACTTCTTTGTCACAACATAACCCGAAAGGAGAATAAAACATATGACACAACAATAAGCAAAATTTTTTACCTAGGAATATAAAATTTTGTCTGGTCACTACGAGATTCGAACTCGTGACCTTAGGCTCGTAAGTACTACGCTCTACCAATTAAGCTAAGCGACCATTAAGCCATAAAATTTCCGCAGTATATCCAGTAGCACTGGATCACGCGATCGTTCCCACTGCAAATAATTGGTGATTTTCAACATCCACAATCAGTTGTTGTATCTAATAATCAACGTTTTTGACGTCTTTGATTAAATGAAAAAAATTAACTTTCGCTGTATTGGTCATTTTCGAATTTTAAAAAAAGATTCAGGTGCGAAAAAAATAAAGAAATTGAACAATACTTTTGTTTTTTTTGTGAGATAAGTATTCATAAAGTTATTCATGTTTTAAAAAAGTGTCTTTTTTTTTCAAATGGTCTTTTTTTGGAAATCCTGTTCCCTCTATCGTTGAAAGACCGATATCTTCGTTTTTTTTATTTTTGAGGGCAAAATGCGGAAATCAAAAGCATTTTGCGATTATTTTGTTCAAAAGAATACATATTAGGAAGGTAGTCTATGATTTTTAGCTTAGGTCATTACAAACGTGTTACAGAACGTAACAAAATAGTCGTGTTTGGGGGAAAAAAAAATCTGGTAAAAAAAAGACTAAGTTAAAAAAAAAAAGAAAAGAAAAAAGTATGGCAATAAAAAGTTCATTGTTCAAATGAAAACAGTACTCTAACAACAAATGTACTTTATATTTATGCAAATGCTATTACATTATAACAAAAGAATAAAAAAAAATAAAGAAGCTCTGTTAACATTTTGTTACAAGGCAGTTATAATTAACAAATACATACAAAACTCTTTTGTTTATCAAATAAATAGATTGCTTTATTATTCTTTATGACAGATATAATAAAAGAATATATGTTTTTAAGCTTATACTAGTTCATTACTTACTTTATGTTTGTACATGGGTGTAATTTGCCATTAGCCATTAGCCATTAGAGATGTTAGCAATGGCAACTTTCTTTACCAAAAAGAACTTTTTAGCAACAAGCAGTAATATAAGATTGATATTCTTACAGTTTCTTTAAGTTGGAAAGAACAACTTTGCCCATGAGTCTCATGTTCGTCATCCGAATGTGTACCATTAGGAATTCCTAATGTAAAAAAAAGAAAAAAAAAAAAAAAAGAAACCAACATTAGACTTGGTTGTTATTATTTTTTTTTTATAAACTTACATTTGAACCGTTGTTGAGCTTTCTTTTTTATCTTTTGTATCCGCAATGTTAAATAAGCTCTCTGAAACAAAACAAGGGAAAAAAAAACCAGTTCTTTTGAACACGTAAAATTGTTACTGTTTAGGAACCAACTTCCAAATTTAGTATATTTGCTTTAGTTTTTTTGATCACGCATTTTTTTCTATCTTATTCCTCTACTAAATCCTGAATATTATTTTTTTTGAAATGAACGCCACCAACAACAAAGTTAAATGCCAATGCACCAAATGCAGCAGCTGTCCTGAAGGATTCAAGTGGATTGCAAAGAAAACCGCTAACACTCATAAGCGCATAGACAAAGTTGGAGAAGGTACAATTTTCTTAAAGAAATGCAGCAAGACTAAAGTGCAATTAAAATAGTTTTGAGACAAAGAAGATTTGAAAACACCTTCGAGCAACCCACCACGTCTACCGAAAGAAGCACGTTTGAAGGTATATTTATAAATCCACCCCTTTTTTTTTATTAAACAAATTTAGAATTCGACATTGATGCTGACATGGATGTTGACATGGACGAAGAAATGACCAACGACCAACAACTGGCGTATCTCCTGGTCCTTTACCTTGTGCTTTTCCAAGCAAAGCACCTTTCAGTTGAAGCCGGTGAAGACTTGTTGGCCTTTCTTTCCTTTTTCGTTCGTGCTCTTGGCCATGGCATGGAGATTCCTACAAAGATCTCCACTGCTCGTAACATGGTCAATTATTCCTCTGCCAGTAGTGGTGTGTCCCGTTTCCTTGTCTGCTCTCTTTGTAGAAGTGTTTACGACACAGGAAGTTTGCATACCCGGCAATGCCCTTTTATTAGGTTTGCGAACAATCCTCACAGACAAGAGCACCCATGCGGCAATTCACTTTTTATTGGTAGCAGCCTCAAGCCTGTCCTCGAGTTTCCGTACAACTCAATTGTCGAAACGTTGAAGAAGTTCTTTGTTCGTCCAACATTCGAAACAGAAATCGAAGAATGGAGACATCGGCATGTGGAAGAAGGCGTGTTTTACGATATTTACGATGGTAGAGTGTGGAACAGTCTTGTTGATTCGGCTGGAGAACCATTCGTAAATAGAAGTCGATCATTAATGGTTTCATTGAATGTTGATTGGTTTCAACCTAGTGATGGTATGCACTACTCTTGTGGTGGTGTATATCTCACGATTAACAACCTTCCAAGGAGTTCTAGGATGAAGGTTTCCAACATCATCCTGGTTGGTATGATTCCTGGGCCTGGCGAGCCCACGGATGACCAGCTCCAAAACTTTTTGCGACCAATGATTGCAGAGCTGAATACCTTGTACGGAGGTATGATGATGCCAACGTACCAGAACAGAAACGGTGAAATGGTACGTGTTGCTTTGATGTCCGTTAACTGTGATATACCAGCAGCTCGCAAAGTAGCTGGGTTCATGGGTCAATCCGCGCACAAAGCCTGCAACAAATGTTCCACTGTGTTTTCGCGAATCAGTACTGGTGCAAATTCAACGAAGCCAGATTTTTCTGACTTTGACGATGAGCACTGGATTCTGCGAAACAATACCCAGCAGCGCCAAGAAGCATATGCTTGGCTAAATGCTACTCACATTACGCAACAGCGAACCCTGCAGACGAACACAGGAAGTAAATGGAGTGAACTTCACCGACTAGAGTATTTTGATGTCGTGAGATTGACAACCGTTGATCCCATGCACAATTTATTTCTAGGTACGCCAAAACGAATGGTTGAAGTTTGGGTAGATCACAGGCTGCTTACCACATCTGATTTCAAAGCCATGGCTGATAAATCAGCTTCTATTATCATTCCTTCACAGTACTCTAAAATCCCAAAAAGTATGTAACGAGCGTAAAAGAACTTATTCTATAATAAATCTGAACACTAATTTTTTGTTATAAAAAAAAAAAAACGAAAAAGGCAAGATTGAAAGTACGTTTAGCAATATGAAGGCTGATGAGTGGAGAACGTGGTGTGTTATGCTTTCGCCTTTTCTCTTAAAACAAAGATTAATCGGTGAACATTTCATCAATTGGATCAGATATGTAGAAGCAGTAAGGTTGGTGACTGGTCCTTTAATCACAGCAGATGAAATTCAGACAGCACACTCCTTATTTAAAGAATTCGGCAAGACCTGTGTTCAACTCTATGGAAAAGCATGTATAACACCTAATATACATATGCACATGCATTTGAAAGAATGCTTTTTGGACTTTGGTCCCTCCTATGCCTTTTGGCTTTATGGTTTTGAACGATTGAATGGTGATGTCAAAAAGATAAATATCAATTACAAGACAGGCTTCGAAACCACCTATGTCACTATGCTTACTCAAACCATTCATACGCAAGATATAATACATTCATTACCTACATTCATTAACAACAACGATCAAGGCATGCTCCTACTGATCAACTTCATAAAGGAAATAGGCGAGGTTACGAATGACGAGAGTGGTTTAACGCCATTTGATTACTCTCAATTCATAGACGGGCCAAGTCTATTTAACCTGACGATTACTGGTAGTGAGCCTCTGCCACCACAAGCCCTTCCTTCAAAAATTAACAACAAACAAGAACTTTTATGCCCTGAACACTATGAAGCCTTACAAACTTTTTATATGGATACCTATGAAATACCTATTATGAATACAATCAGTACAACTATAAAATCATTCAAAAAAATTAACTTGCTTGGACAACACTACCAACAGTCAGACAATCATTCATCATCATCATGCATTCAAGCCTTTATGAACAATCAATTACGTATTGGTCAAATATCATACTTTTTCAGTCATTCATTTAACAACTCAACTCATTATTTTGCATTCGTCAATTGGTACAGCCATGCGACTCAACATTTTCCCACCTTCGATGGTACTGGCATCCAAGTGTGGAAGAACCAATTTGATCCAGTTTCAAGCAACAGCATACTTCCAATTTATAGAATCTTCAATCCTGTTGCTGTATGCCCATATATCGATAATCACCTTCTTACTCTCGCTCTGCCAAGACGAATTTATATGTAACAACTATGTTAAATTATTCAAACCTTCTTTTATTACTATTATTATTATTTATTTTATTATATAATTTACTAAAGAATCATTTATTAGACTATTATTGTTATTTGTTTTTTTTTTTAAAAAAAAAGATTTTATTCAATTTGCAGAGACAACAAAAGAGGCAGCAAAAAAAAAAAAAAAAAAAAAAAAGGAAAAGAGAAAGTAAACGCTTACTGCATGGGATTAGCAGCAGCAGAAGAGGAAGAGCCAGAGACCTCAGCCGAAAAGCCAAGGCCAGGGGAAGAAAAGGCCCAAGAGGGATAATCTTCATGGTCAAGGTTTGTAGGGAACTCCTTGTCGAAGTATTCCACCACCCTTCTTGTTCTATTGATGGTGCCTTTTTTCGACAAGGAATTCCTCCATGCTTTTTGAAGAACAGCATGGAATTCGTCCACCTGTAGATTAAGTAAAGGTATATTAGAAAATAAACACTATTACAAAAATATTACTTACTGCTTTGCTTCGAAATAGTGGTCTTTTTACTACAAACACAGGACCATGTTCATCCTCAGGACCATCTTCTTCCTCTGACGTCCAATCGGTCATCAGAATTTGTTTTCCAAAAGGAAAACGAGCTTCAAATTCCTCAGGGGCCGCATTGTAAGCATTTCGCCTCATGGCGAGCTTCTAATGTAAAAAAGTAATGTAAGTACTTGAAACACTATATATTTCAATCTTTAAATACTAATTACTTACTGCATGCACACGACTACGACGCGTTGAATCTTCTGACGTAGCCGTTAGCCCCTTATGAAGTGTTTTTAAGTATTTAAAATATGAAAAAGAAGAATTAACGAGACCG